AGTTACACAAGCATATTATGCCTGATATTATAATGAACAGCATCATGGGGAGCGGAGCTCGCGCAGTTGGCTCTCGGGGGGCGGATTGTGCTTTTCCCGCTGTTAAGCGCTCTGCTCTTGCCGGGCACGCTCCGAGGAGTGTGTCCGTGCCTGTGATCTTGCGATTGCAGTCCCGCTGCTGCTGAGGCACAGCGGCGATTGAGAACGTGAGAATCACACATGATCTGGTGGCCGGGTTGGAGACGGCTCGTCCTATCTCCACCCGTGTTCCCTAGATCTAGAGCTCATTCTTGAGGCTTGGAAGCCCGCGCGCTGCCGAGGCAACACTTATATTACATCATTCGGTTTCGATGTGAATCTTACTCACCAGACCGTATTTACCCTTCTGGTTGTTGACTGCATTTAATTCTGAGGAATAAAATGAAGTATTTATTTGACTATGAGGAGTTAGATATACAGGGGCACTTGGGAAAAAAATAAATAAATACATTTTCTTGAGTGAGAGCGCGTGTTACCTCTCTTCCTCTGAGGAGGTTGAGGCGGTTAGCAGGGGCTGCTGGGCGGGAGCAGTCCCAACCTACCGTGTTCCAGCCCCTCATTCTGGGGGCCTCACTTCACGTACGCCGCAGAGTCTAGAGTCAGAATGGCGCTCCCAGGCCGAAGGCTTCTAGCGGAAGGCGGTTCTGCGGACCGTCATTCTCGCTGGATAGTCTTCGTCGTAAACGTCCTGATGCCTAAGGCCTAGGACTTTTTGAGGGCCAGCTCCCTCTGGGGAAGAGCGGTGTACACCGCATTACACGGTGCCCATCTCTCCTCGGTGCCCTCGGGAGATCGGTCTGCCAACCCTGCCGGTGTTCCAGGGCGCAGCGGTCTCCGGCGAGCGCTTCTCTCAGTTACCGCCCGGAAACGTAGCGGTACTAAGAGGCTCGCAACCTCCACGGAGGTCTCTAGAGCAGCTAGTACGGTCGTTCCCTGCCGGTCTGCCACTTCAAGGCACCGAGCTAGCTGCTCTAGGCGCACCAGAGGCCAGTCTCGCGATACTGGTTCCCTTAGGACAGTGGTTCTCAACCCGCAGCCTGCGGGCCGCATGCGGCCCGTCACGAATTAAAATGTGGCCCACCGTGCTGAACACAATTTAAAAAAAAAAAACTTTCAGTTTTACAATTCATTTTAGTTTTTACATTAATTTAAAAATGTACTAAATAAATATAAGCTATAGCCTAATGTTTTTATGTAAAATAATTTTGTTTTTCATATATTATTTTCAGACATGAGCAGTACTCACAAAGCCCAATTAACGTTACGCATTTAAAGTAACGACCAAGTGGCCAGCGGCTGACAGTGAGCACATGTTTGCTCAAATTAGCCTTCTCAAATCATCACGACTTGACTAAAATAACATCTATAGATATAAAACAGTTCAAGCATATAACAATGCTTAAACGTTAAACCTAGATAAATGTGCGTTATATCCAATAGTTTGCGCAGAGAGTGGAAGCTAAAGTGCGCTTTGCAGGACATAGAGACGCCAGCGCGATCACTTTGTTTTATTTCAGTGGATACACCGTCATTTTTGCTCATAAAGGTAAGAGTAATACATACTTCGTAACTGTAAAGGGTCTACTTTTATTTGTGTGCACTCACGATACCAACAAAACGTTGTGCTTTTATAAAATAAAGAAATCAAACATGATGCGCTTTCTACCGTCTCGTCTTGAACAGGCACACTTCACAAAAATGAACCAAAACTCAGCGAATACATGCCTCACAGACATGATAACTATATCCATAGAAAGCTTTAAATTACTTCTTAACGAAATAAAACAAATCAAAAACAAAAACTCTTTAAATTATGATCATAATCCGTAAATATGCACTTCTCTCTAAAGGCGTGTCTAATGAAGAGATGGCGAGTCAGGATCAACAACTTCATCCTTGCGACATCGACTCAGAAAACACTAGTTTATTAGTAAATAATTAAAATATCTCCTTACTGTTTCCCACTGACACATTTATGGTAATTACTTCTGCCGATGCTTTGCGCGCAAACTTAAGCCTATTGCGTAAATTTGAACGCAGAACTGTTCAGCTGCGTTGACGGCAAGCATGCTGCTACTGCTGGACACTAAACACCGTTGAGCCGCTCTTGACAGTCACGGTAGCACAGTTTCGTGTTGTTTCCACCAGCACGGCAATTTTTTCATCACTAATTGATGGATGTCTAAAATATAAAAATAAGGAGAAGCTTAAAACAGGCCCGAGGCCCTGCCTGCGTCTGAACTATGAGGTGAAAATTGTCCCGAAGCCTAGCCCGAGGGACAGAAAAAAGTCGGGGCCCGTCAGGCCTGGGCTGAAATGCAGGGCTCTAGCTCTGATCTAGCACACAGAAAACGATTTGACTAAAAATTTATCAGAAGAGATGAAAGAAAGATAGTGGTCATCTGCATTTTTTTTTTCACCTGGGGTGGCCAGCCAAATTTCAGGGGGGGGGGGGGCCACTGCATGGCTTGTCTGCCACGCATAAAAGTGAAACTCCGTCTATGATTGTGCTGTTACTCCTTTCGAGCCAAAGTTCACAAAATTGGGTGTGATTTATGGGGAGTAGAATTATTTATTTATTTCAATGAATGTAATCGATTAGATATCATAATATTTAGGTTATAATATTATAAATCAGGTTGGTTTGTATTGCTGACGTAATATGTAAATGATATGCGTGCGGCCTGCGAGACTTGCACTTGGACCATAGTGCGGCCCGGTGGAAAAAAA